TTAACAGACACCTTGAAACATGGAAGGTCAAATACAACCCAAGGAAATCCTGCGATTTCTTGTAGAGTAGTCACTTTATGGGTCTGTTGAATCCCAAAATGTTCCACCGACCTACATATTTCACACACAAGCATATCAAATTGTTTACTTGGTTACAATATATGCGAAGTATGTAATTTGATATGACATAAATTCACATGCAGGTTCTTAAAATGCAAGAAAAGGAAAATACTATAATTTTAGAAGTATTCAAATATGCAACAATAAATTAAGGCAGCTAATAATTTCATGATAAATAATAACTTAAGTCTGTAACAAGTGCAACATCATAATTGAAGTAGAAAGAACAAGACTGAGAAACATAAGCAATATATGTGATTCTACTAAAATTAAAAAGTAATAACTCCTCTAATTAATAAGGGTAAGTTCATCCTCTAATAACAAATCATTACTTACCTCGAGGCGGCAAACATGACACTTCTACAAATTCAACGGTTTTGCTGGTAACATATACCAATTAGAAAATAACATATACTTAATTTTACATTTTAAGTTTATTTTAGGTATAACATAATAATAATAATAATAATAATAATAATAATATTATTATTATTATTATTATTATTATTATTATCTAAAAAAGAGAAACTATGGATTTAATTATACTTGGTTTACTAAAACCTAAAGACTAAAATAAAAATGATAACTTCAAATCCTATGGGTTAATAATTTTCGTTGCTCCCCTGCTCGCCTTAAATTCAGGAAGATAGATTTACGGGATTAAGGGAAGTCGAGGAGCGATAGGGATAAACAGTAAACAATCGAGGGTTACCTTCCCAAATGGTTCGAAGCGGGCCGATGGAGGGTATGGTGGCACGATCCCTCCATTGCTTTCTTGACAAGCTCCAAGCATGACAGTAAAGTTCGTTGTTCGCAAACAGGTCGTGTTCTTCTAGACAGTGAGTTCATATTCGATTCATTTGATAAACAAGCGAGACGAACACAAACAATTTTTTTTTTGTTCAGTTTATAAATGAACCAAGCACGAAAAGTTGTATGTTCGATCGTTGTTCGAGTTGTATTGTTCGAAATATAAAATAATTTAAAATAATTACATATAAAAAATGTATCATATTTTAAAAATAATTATACACTCTAAAAATTTGTCATATTTTAAGAATTTGAGTATGAAACTTGAAATGTATATTTCATTTGTAACTTGTTTTTAACAATTTGTAATAATATAATTGAATAAATAATATTTTTTTTAAATAGGGAGATGTTATTTATTTATTTATTTGTAATTTGAGAATTAATAATTAAATTTATTATAATTTTAACAATTCAAACTATACAAACAAATTTGAAAGATTTTGAGCAATTCAAACAATTCGAATAATTCGAATATTTCAAACATTTCAAATTGATCTCAAAGAAATCGAGAGAAAAGGAACGCGACAATGGTGAGCAGGAGAAGAAGAGAGGCAGAGGGAAACCGGTGGATGTAGTTAAGAGAGAGACAATGGTGTTTGGTGCCCTATCCTTAGCCCGTGCTCGACCCACTCTAAATAGTCGTGGGAGGCGGTAAACAATGGGAGAAGAAAAATTAAAGGGTCGCGATTTAGGAAGTTGTTAAAGCAATGAGTAAGGAAGAAAAGAAAAGAAAAAAAGAAATTTTGGTTCTCATAAGATGGATCAACATAAGAGATTCTCTCTCCTCTATAAACTGAAATGAATTCAAATGTTAGAAGTTTATAATTCACTAAAATTAAAAAAAATATATAATTATTATTCTTTTGAAATAACGTATAAAAAATTTAATTTTATATAAATAATTTAAAAAAAAGACACATGATGATTTATAAATATAAAATACTAAAAATAATTAAAGAAAATTGAAAAACTAGTTGCTAAAAAAAATAATAAAATTTAATAAATACATGATTGATTTTATATGTACATCCAAAAACTTGGTAGATTTAAGCATGAACTATTATGACACGGGCAAGACACAAATGAAATCAGGTCGGATTCAATTAAATAGATGCTTGACAAAACCAAGCCAAAAATGCTACAACATTTGACAATTTGATTTGTACACTCATAGCTCGCAGCTTGGTTAAGAAAATTGAAGTGCTCATCCAATAACTAGCTCAGGCACAATCGGCAACTAAGTTATTGGTAGTCCGCACGCTCACAAATTTGACTTTGGGCTCTTCAATTTGTACGACTATATGATGCGCCAAAACAACTTCGAATTTTATGTACTCCAATATATTTTGATTTTCTTATTATTTTTTTTTTCAATCATAACCACCATGAAAGAAGCACAATTATTATTGTTGAATTCAAAATGTTACGAACTAGACTCTTGCGAACACGAAATAAGCAACATAAAATGCATCATAAGGCAATGGCGTAGGGGGGTGGGTGGCGGCGTTGTGATAATTTTTAAAGGTTTGGGGACGAGCTGCTGCAGTGACTTGAAGGGTTGGAGGCAAGTGACAACTACACGGACTAAAAGAGGGAGATGTTTGGCAATCTGTCTGGTAGGTGGAGGAGGACAACGACCTTTTGGAGTAGAGATGGAGAGATGGCAGGTTGTTGGAAGGTGGTAGGAAGGGGAGACCAATAGCAGGAAGAGCAACGAAAGGGGCTTGTACAACTTCTAGAAGGTGGTCGGAGTTTTGGGTGGCAGCCATGAAAGGCATGAAGGCTTGTGTGGTGGCTTTTTGTTGTTAGAAGGGGTTGGAGGTATGGACAACATCACAGAAGATGGTTTGCAGTTGTTAGAAGTAGGGTCGGAGGGGTTGTTGAAGGATAAATATCTCTTCATGGTCAAGCTACAACCGGAGCACCACTCTGACCCTTGTAGACGGTCACACCTCGAAAGACTTACAACCGGAGCACATTCTTGTCACCGAGTGTAGATTCTGGAGCGGAAGAATGCCTCAAAGACAACAATTGAAATCAGCTATCATCAAAAACCTCTCCACTTCATGCAAACACAATATAATATAAAGTATCCCAACGCAGAGAAAAAGGAAGGAATTTGAAATTGGGATAATAGTGGAATGTGATAGAAAATGTAGGCAATGAATAGAGCAGAATTGGAATTGGAAAGAAATAGAAATAGAAAGCGGGATAGAAAAGGCAAGCTAGATTAATAAATAATTAGCATGGGATAGAAATAGGAATGGAGATGGAATAAGAAATGAGCAGGGGGAGGGATGAGCTGGACCGCAATATCGTAACAACTATAATGTCGTGTTTGAGACATGGTAGCATCTACAATACCGTGGCTCGATAAGCTCCTGCACGTCAATCTCCCAGGATTGAAGGAGATTCGACCTCATTCTTCAAAACTTTTATGGCAGAAAAATTTTGGTGGGGGTGGCTTAGATAGGGGTGAAAGCTAGAGAACCCAACGATGGGACTGAGATTGGGCCAACTCTGATACCAAAAGATGTCGGAGAAAGCCCAAATCATCAGGAAAAAACACAATTGCTATTACTAAATCAAAATGGTTACAGACAAGACTCTTGAAAATATGAAATAAATGACAACAAACATAAAATACACCATAAGGCGATGGTGTAGTGGTGTGGGTAGCGGCTGGACAACAGGTAAAAGACGGGTTTGGTGAATTCATCAATAGTAAGATGGGTTGGAAGGGAATTATTACTGATTGGATCTGGTTGAGTTGGCTGTGAAAATTGTTGAAAGGGTGGGGACGGGCTGCTGTAATGACTAGAAGGGTTAGAAGTAGGGGAGGATGCCTGACAGTCTTTCTGGTCGGTGGAGGAGGTCGGTGGCCTTATGGAGTAGAGATCGAGGGATGATGGCTTGTTGGAAGGTGGCAAAAAGGGGAAACCAGAAACAGGAAGATAGGGAAAGGGGCCCATAAAGTTGTTGTGAGGTGGTCGAAGGTCTGAGTGACAGTTAGTAAGGGTCTGGAGGCCTTTGTGGTGACAGGAAGGCGACTTGTGGCTATTTGAAGGGGACTGGAGACCTAGAAGACAATAGAGAAGATGCTTTTGTGGCTGCTAGAAACAGAGCTAGAGGGGCTGCAGAAGGATAAATGTCTCGTCATTATCGAGCTACAGTCAAAGCATACATTGGCGGCTGG